TAAACCCGAATGCCTATCGTCTGCGTCTTCCGTCTCATATTCGTACGTCGGATGTGTTCAATGTCAAGCACTTGGTGCCGTTCATGGGGGACAACTCGGACGAAGACGAGACCGGTTCAGATTCGAGGGCGAATCCTCCTCAACCGGGAGAGGATGATGAAGACGAGACCGCCATTGCGTATTTAAATAAATATGATCGTCTTCGGCTTTAGTCTTCTTATTTATTGCTTTTATTAGTACTCTTTATTTCCTTTATTTGGTAACTTTATTAGGAAAATAAATAATTGGCAGTAGTAGGTTGCTGTTAGGAGTCTTTATTTCCTTTCTCTTATTTAAGTGGGATTGGGTACGATGTATTCATCAGATTATGAATGAAATAAAAACTGCGATTGTTCTATTCAACGAGAGAGAATCTCTTCTTCTTCCCATTTCGTATTAAGCTCTACATCATTATATTAATTAGTTTGTTAGGAATGACGGTTCAGTTAACAAAAATCTAACAAAAAATCTGACATGGCATTAACTCACATCAATGCCATGTCAGATCTTCATTAACAGAACCGTCATCCATGTATCGATTTGCAAAAATGGTGTATTAATTTGCAAAATTTCAAAGACAGTGATTAAATTGCAAAAACATGAAAGTTGGTATATTCATGTGCAATTTTGCCCTTTTAGAACAATGTTAAGGTTTGCTTTAATATAATTTTTTTTATTTGCTTTGGTTAATTTTTAAAAAATGTGGTATAATTAGTTATTAGTGAGATTATTAGTTTGTATTAAAATAATATTTAAAATAAAATAATTAAAGTTCATTTGATGTAAAAGTAGGAAAGAAATGATATGAAGCAATGTTCAGTGAAAATTATGTGAATGGATGAATAATAAATGAAAGTTGATATAATGTGTAAGAATGATTGATTTTTAGTATTTTTATTGGTGATATTATTGGGATCGTGTTAAACTTAACTTAGATTTGAGTTTAAAAAAGTGATTGGTTATAAATATTTGATTTCTCTTTTTATATTTTGTTTCCAGGCATCCTCTGAACTTTCGACCACAAAATAGAAAATTTTCAACTTAAATGGTGTTTTATTGTTTCCACATATAACTTCATACGGAATATACTTTTTGCATTAAATAATATTGATTCTTATATTGATTGATTTAATTCAAAATTCAAAAGTTCAGTAAAAATTAGTAATAGAAATTAAAATGTTGAATAAACCTTTCACCATACAAATTAACCAATATTCAAAATGAAATAATTGCCTTATCGTTACATTAATGCGTGAAAAATCTCTTCTCTAAGCATAGGCTAAGCTAATCACCAACAGATCCAAGCGAAATCCCACAAAAATAAATTACTATTTCTCTCAAAATAATTGCTAAAAGAGTACTTTTAAATATTTTTTTTTTTCAATACAAAATTGACTTCATATCAGGTGATTTGAGTAACATTCATGTTCAGGCAGTTGTGGTGTCTGGGCTATCCTCTTGATCATTGTTGTTCTCATTGGCTTCCTCTGGGCAGCCATTTTCGACAGGCCCGGGCCCAGCTGAGACCTTCACCATTGATGGGCGTAACAGTCTTTCGCCGAGTTGAAATCCTTTTCTGTATTCTTCAATAACAACGCCATCTTCGTACTCGGTCGAATCTTCACGCATTATGGCTTCGTGTAGCTTTTTGCCATGACAGAAAAAAAAATAGAAAAAAATTAAATCTTCACACAGTATCCAATAACATTGTTAGGCCACAGATACACACGATAACCGAAAAATAAGACCATTGAGGGGAAAAAAAAAAAAATTGAATATTGCTCGTTAACCGAGCATCAAATTAACGGAGCAAAACACAAAACTTCAGCAAAGTGAAGACACACCATATCATCTCTTCTCAATGAACTCACCGAGTTGGCTCTTCTAACAAATCAAGAATTAACTCGAGTTAAAAGCGTATCCAGGTCTTCGTAAAACCTGAATAGACTTTATACAACTTTTCAAAGAGTTCATCAATTACTCGACTGAATCGTGAGCCAACTCGGGAGCTTACCTGCATTCAGCCAATGACCAGAGATAGTGATCATAAATAGAAAGGCCAGTTGTAAGGGATTTCAACATTCCAAGAAAACCATTTAAATTGTTCGAACAAAAAAGGGCACCTAATAATAGACATTGAAAATTTAAAATTTGCAAAAACAAGATTTTGGGTGTGTTTGTAAACAAAATTACTCAATCCATATATTTAAGGCATACTCAAATTTAACTCAACTTTAAACACTATCCTCATTCCTCAATATCATCAATATGATAAAATAGTAACAATCAATTATTCTTACACGTCTCATCAACTTTAATTCACTATTCATCCACTCAATTAATTTTAACTTACATCACTTCACATCATTTCTCTCATGATTTTATATCAAATAACTTTCATTATTTTATAATATTATTTTAACATAAACTCAAAATCCCACTAACAACTAATCATATCACTTTTTTCAAAATTAACCATACCAAACTAAAAAAATCCAAACAAACCAAAAAAATTTATATCCAAGCATCCCTAAGAGCATGCTTGGAGAAAATATCTCAAAAAAAATCCAAACATTTTTAACTCAATCACTTTTTTTAACTCAACTTTAACTCAACCTCACTATCATCAATATTATCAATATAATTAAATAATATCAATCAATCATTCTTACACACCACATCACCTTAATTCACTATTCATCCACTAGCATAATTTTAACTAACCATCACTTCAAATCTTCTCTCTCCTACTTTACATCAAAACAACTTTAATTATTTTATTTTTAATATTATTTTAATATATCCTTTAATAACTAACGATACCAACTTTTTCAAAACTAACCAAACCAAACAAAAAAATCCATACAAAACCAATTTTTTTTTTTTTATATATTAAAGCATCCTCTAAAGAACTTACCATGGGATCAAATGGCTTTCCCACTGTCTCCACAGGGACCACTCCAAGAGACCCCAAAACCTCCACAAACTGCTTGTATATGCTCTGGTAACTGTTGCTAACTTTTTCTTCCCCTTCAGTTGCCAGTTTGATCTGAGTTTTGGCTCTCTCGAAATTATCTAAAACGGGCAAGAGATTTTCAACAACTTCTCCTCGCGCATTTGAAACTAGCGAAAGGCGCTCCCTCTCTGTCCTTTTACGGAAATTGTCAAAATCAGCACTGATCCTAAGGACCCGATCTTTCTCGTACGATAGTTCTTCGGTTAGCTGGGCCACCTTCTTCTGAAGATCGATTTTCTCATCTTCAATGGATTTGAGAAATAATTCCACCTCAGTGATTTTCGAGTCATTGTTATTTACTAGAGCTTCTTTGTACAGATTTAAAGAAGATATAACCACAGAGCTATGTTCTTCAAGAACTGTGTTTTCACTCTCACTAGAAGAATCAGCGTCAACTGCACCATCTGTGTTGTTCACCTGAATATATATGAAAAAAATGTAAATTGGAACATAAATGTGACATATTTCTAGGAACTAAAACAATCAAGGAAATTAATAAATTCGAGCCACCACATTTGAGAACTCCCCAAAAAAAGATAGTAACTCCAGGACAAAAATCCTAAATAGATGTGATGCCTTGAATGGAAACCTCGAATCACTTATCACAAACCTAGCGGAGGAGATTAAATATTTATAAGGGCACAGTGTTTTTAAGTATATGTCGTATCCAATTAATGATGGATAACAGTAAAAGTAGAGCACAGAAGTCATTATTCTCAACAAGTCACTCATCCCACAGATATGAGAATGAGAGAAATAAAGAAACTCTGTCGACAATGCATAATTGTTTCACACAAATGACAAATCATATTTCTGCTAAGACAGTATACAGGAACTCAAGTGGAGTTCGCATTGATGAGACTGAGGCAAAGCGTTTTCTCATTTCCTGTACAAGCTTGTTGTTTTCTAAAGTAACAAAGCAGCAAACAACTTGATCAGACGAATTTCAAGTAAGAAACTTTTCAACACTAGATTAACATGCATTGCCTATAATCTTGGAGGTGATATATTTTTCATCACTTCATGTCTTAATTAAGTGAAACCATTCTGCAATAAGCACTCGTTTTATTCAGTACAATCTACAAAACTCATCACTCAAACGACATTGTTACCTGGGTACCAAAAGAAAAAGGAAATACAATAGACCCTATTATCAATCACATTTTTTGCGTTCCCCATGAAAAACTTATCATATCTTTTTCTCCACCACAGGAAAGCACAAAATTTAAAAAAGTAGACACGGTCATCACACACACATAGTAAACAATCCATTGTCATATCACAGCCAATCATGTTTATCAAAGAAGTTAGGTAATAACTAATCAGACCTTCAAAATTCATCCACAACTCTTCCACATAATATCTCCACAATTCACACTTACTCAGTACTCACACATCAAGCAGCAGCTCACATAGAAAAGGTAATACTGGCCAATCGTATCAATTGGCTCACTACAAGCTCACTTATAAGTTATAACTAAGAAAGACGAAACAACAACAACAACATAGCCTTTTAGTCCCAAGCAAGTTGGGGTAAGCTAGAGATGAAACTCAAGAGAACCAATGGTAAGAGAAACACAAAAAGAGCTCAAAACAAAAGGAAGAAATTGGAGCAAAAGTCACGGTTCTGGCACTTGATTGCTAGCCTCCAAGCGCTCCTATCCACCGCTAAATCCTTGGAGATATTCCAATCTTTAAGGTCTCTCTTAACCGACTCTTCCCAAGTGAGTTAACTAAGACAGACGAAAACTTTCAGCAATTTGCAGCAGGCCTAACAAGAATGTCACCCATACAGTACCGTGGGTTCAGCTATTTCCGGATGTTTCAGGCGACAACAGGACAAAGACCACATCAAGCAACATAAATCGAGAAGGACAAGAAACAACAAGAATGTCATCCGTACAGCACGGAGTGCTCAGCTGATTTGCAAATTTTTCAGGCAAAAACAGGACAGAGACCACATCAAACAACACAAATGCTGATCGCCATGGAAAAATCAACAAGAATGTCATACGCACAGCACTTTGGCTCAGCCGTTTTCGGATTTCTCAGGCAAAAACAGTCCAAACACCACATCAAACAACTGGTGGGCATGGAAAAAATTACCTCATTTCCGGGTTCGACTCCTTCAACCGGGTCTTTCTCTTGGGTTTCCGTCTGGACCTCCACAGTTTCACCTTCGGCCGCAAAGGTCACGAATTTTGGAACCTGGCGGATGGGTAACTTCCTCTTGTAGCCCGTGCTGTAAATCCGACACCTTATCACTGGAAGCCTGTTGGGTGAAAATGAAACGCTGGTAGAATTTACTACAGGTTTGAAGGAGGAAGCGCCGGAAAACGCCGCCGCCGGCGCACAAAACCCAGGTGGTGTGTTTAGTACAGTGGTGGCCATCAGAGAGAGAGAGAGAGAGGGAGCTTGAATGGATAAAAATGGTAGGAGAAAGCAAGCACAAGCAGATGGATATATCGAGGGTTTAGCAGATGATTAATATATTATATTACTTCATTTTCTAGAAAACACTATTGACTGTACTATATTTTAATTTTTTTCGTGTAATAATTTTAAATTTTTGTTTGTTAGTCGAACTTCTGTAGATTTAAAAATCTATTTATTATTCATTTAATCTTTTTTTTCCTACATTCCAATATAGTAGTAATTATAATTATTTTTAAATTAAAAAAATAATTGAACATTAATTTATTAATTAGTATATTAGTATTTTTCATATTATATCGATTTCAATAATTATATTTTCGTGTATTACTCATTTATCATGTAAGCATTTTATTTATAAAAAAATAGATTTTTATTTTCACTTTTGGTGTATCTGTATGTTTTGAGAAGTGATAATATCTATCCAGTCTTTCTAAATGAGCCGAGTCGAGCTCAAACTCCAATTGAAAATCGTCAACAACACAAATTAATAAACAAACTCCAATTTAACTTATTTATTAATATTAACGACACCGGTTATGAAAAAATACATATAGAAACTCAAATCGAGTCCGACTCAACTAATCAACTATACGATTTTTAAAAGAGCTCGAGCCCTGCATAGAAACCAACCTCGAAACGAATTGATCTCACCCCACTACCCTTTCATAGTTTATTCTTTTTATTTCTACCTTTTTTATTGTTATTTTGATATTTGACAAAAAAA